AAACATGAAATATGAACTACTATTTGTATCACAAATCATATATGTATATTTTCACTGGTGTCTTTAGCTGACACCACCCTGTTAAAACATGCAGGTTCCTGCCACTATTATCTAGGTTACACAGTTATTCCATTTACTTACAAAGCCTCACAGTAACAAGACAACACAGGCAAATCTACCACACTCCTGGTTCCCATTCCGGTGTATGCAGAAAGCAAGAACTAAAAGGCACATAACACAAGCAGATGACAGTACTGTAGCTATTAGGTTTAAATCCATGTGTACAGGGCAGTCAGAAGGTTGAATCCTTCTCACACGTGCCTGTCAGTCAGACAGCATGGAAGCACGTCCCTGTTTTCCCTCCTTACTCCCAAAAGTATGCTCAAGTCTATGCTGTCCATTTAAAAAAATCTGCACAGCCAATCAAGTCTCCAATGGCTAACCAGAAGCCTTGCTGGACAAAAGCCCCACTTTTAAAAAATACTTGCTGGGTGCCAGGAGAGCTGTTAGCAGGCACAATGGGGCCCGTGGGCACCATATTGGGGAACACTGCTCTAAACACTACACCACACCAGCTGCCTGGAGAAAAACAAACGGTCTTGTCTCTGTAACAGAGAGCTGCAGTCTTACACACACTAAATAATCCACTTTTAATCCACTTTCAGTGCACTTTCCAACTAGATCTTGCTGTGTGAACTGGCAAGATCCAGTTGGAAAGTGCATTGAAAGTGGATTATTTAGGCCCATTCTGCATCTCGCATTTGCTTTGCTGTTTTACTAAACCCATGTTGGAACAGAACAGAGGGTACATTGCATGCCACTTTCACTTTCTTTGATTGTCGGATTTTATGGCAGCCTCCACAGTGCATGCCGGTTTCAATTCCTTTCTCAGTTTTATGGTACCGTCTGCATACATTTATGGCCGTTCATGGGTGACTCTGCAGTTAGTATGGCATTGGGCCAGGGTATCTGAATGTGGTTTTGAGCCACATCTTTTTCTGTTCCAGTGTGGGTTTGGTAAAACAACGGAGCAAATGCTAGATGCAGAATGGGCCTTAGGGTGTGTGACCGCAGATGGGAATTTACACAGTGACATTGGTTGCGGTCACATGCGCCAGTTGAAGCAGAGGGGAAGCGAGGCTATTTCCTCCGGAGGAATTTGACTCGCAGTTGCGAGATCACACATCCCTTTGTGCTGCGGGCGCCACTGTGTGATCAGACGCCACTGTGGGTCAGTCAGGTTTGTTTCCCATGCGCATAAACGAGGAATCACACCTCTGCAGTGAGGGTTCCCCATGGAGTATGCGATTATGTGCATACTGTGAAGGGGAGGAAACGGCACCGAGTCGGGATGGAATGATCGGATCATCCCGACGGCATGAGAGCATGTCTGAGGGATCAGACAGGGGAAAGTCCGTCTGTGGCCCATCAGAACCAGTTAGAGCCGGACTTTCCTCGATGTCTTTTAGCTCCACTTCTGTGGCAGAGCAGCATGGGTTGCCGATGACTGCGGGACGTTTCCCAGATGTCGCTGTCTGATCGTGTCCTTTAGATCTGTCGGATCTGAAGGCACGTATGATCACAGCCATTGTGTACCTTAAACCGTGAAAAACTTCAGATAGTCATTCTACTTCTGTTAAAAAGAGGGATTCTCCCCCCACGCTTGTTGGCAACCCAATGTGTTAATGTGACCATGGCACAATTTTTTTTTATTCTTCTCGTTGGTCTAGGCTTCACAATCGCGAGTCTGTTCCTTTTCAAGTGGAGCTGTTGGTAAACATTTTAATGTAAGATGTTTTCATCATAACATTTTTTCCCCCTCCAGCAAATACCTTGGTAAATAACTTGCCGGAGCAAATACTTTTTTTAAATGGTCAAATCCATCCATTGTTTTATAAGCTACTTTGTAAACTGAACTGCTCATCAAAGACTTTAATTCATACGGGGGAAGACCAAATAAGATTTAAAAAGCTCTGCTTTGCTGGGATTTTAAACCATTTAGCAGAAATTTGTAGAAGTGTTATAGTAGCCTTGAAACAGGAGGGGAGGTAGGTTTGCCAGCTCCGGGTTGGGAAGTACACCGAGATTTTGGAGGTGGAGCCTGAGGAGGGTGTGGTTTGGGGAGGGGAGGGACTTCAGTGGGATATAAATCCACTAGCAGTAAAGCCCGTTGTGGAAATAAATACAACGAGATCTAGAAAGAGGCTCTGGGGGAGTGCTCTGGCTTTGGGCAAACAGTGTCATTTTGCTGTGGTGACCTCAGCAGGGTATAATGGCAGAGTCCACCAAGAGCAGTCCTCGAGAGAGCTCTCTCAGTTCCATCTACCTCACAGTCACACGGTGTCTGTTGTGGGAAGGGAAGAAGAAGAAGAGATTGGATTTATACTCCGTCCTTCACTTAGAGTCTCAGAGCGGCTTACAAACTCCTTTCCCTTCCCCTCCCCACAACAGACACCCTGTGAGGTAGGTGGGGCTGAGAGAACCCTTTCAAGGACAGCTCTGCCAGAACTATGGCTTGCCCAAGGTCACATCAGCAGGTTCAATTGGAGGAGTGGGGAATCAAACCTGGTTCTCCCAGATTAGAATCCGTGCACTTAACCACTACACCAAACTGGAAAGGACATTGCAAGCTGCTCTGAGAGTCCTTTGGGTAGTGAGGGATGGGGTATAAATTCAATCTCTTCCTCCTCCTCCTCCTCCTCCTCTTCTTCTTCCAAAGTGGCAATTTTCTCCAGGAGAACTGATCTCTGTTGCCTGGAGATCAGTCATAATACCAGGAGATCTCCAGCCACCACCTGGAGACTGGCAACCCCAAGGGGAGGGCTGACGAAAGAAAATGGGAACAGGGATACAAGACTGCAAACTTTTTAGGGGTAGAAACTGTATCCTCTGAATGCTTTTGAATGTTTTTGTCTATAGTTAGAACTGTGTAGAAGACTGGGAGTCTCAGCAGGGTCTCAGCATCATTTCTACAGGTCTGGTTCAATCTTGTAACATTGCCCCGTGCTGTCTCATAACGCAGTCTCATAAATCATTTTTAAATATTTTTGCAGTTGCCATAATACAATCTTGTAACATCATCACCTTCCAGACTGGGATGATTCTCCCAGCATCCCCTGGATGTCTGAGCCCAAGGATAGTGTACCAGTGTTGTAGACAGCCAGCCAGCGTGGCATACTGGTTAAGAGTGTCAGACTCTAATCTGGAGAACCGGGTTTGATTCCCCACTCTTCCACATGCAGCCAGCTGGGTGACCTTGGGCCAGTCACAGCTCTCTCAGCACTCTCTCAGCCCCACCTACCTTACAAGGTGCCTGTTATGGGGAGAGGAAGGGAAGGCGATTGTAAGCTGCTTTGAGACTCCTTAAGTTAGAGAAAAGCAGGGTATAAAAACCAACTCTTCTTCTTTTCCCCCAGATCCCTCTTTGCTTGAGTTCTGGTTGTCAGAGCAGAATCTCTTCTTTAAGTAGCCCTGTTTGCAAGTTACAGTGACTATATGTACAATCCAAGTACACTTGAATATTTTTTATATGTATGTGTGTTGAGTAATTCTCATGTTATGTTCAATGTATGTACAGCTCAATGCTTGATTTAAACCCCACATTTATCCAGGTACTGGTCCTTGGCTTCATGTGCAAAGTGAATGCTTGTTGGCTCTTCCTCACAAACAGATGCATGGATGTACAGGCAGGTTATAAGTGTGCTCACAAACCCTTTTCGCGATTTACAGTGAACACATGTACATCCTGCATGCATGTGCCTACATTTGTTTATAAGAAACAATCAATGCTAGTTTGGTATAGTGGTTAGGAGCAAGGACTCTAATCTGGGAGAACTGGGTTTTATTCTCTACTCCTCCACATGCAGTTGCTGGTGTGATCTTGGGTCAGTTACAAGTTCTTTCAGAGCTGTTCTTTCAAGAGCAGTTCTCTCAGTGCTCTCTCAGCCCCACCTCCCGGACAGGGTGTCTGTTTTGGGGAGGGGAAGGGAAAGGAGATTGTAAGTGGCTCTGAGAGTCCAAGTGAAGGGTGGGGTATAAATTCAATCTCCTCCTCCTCTTCTTCTTGGAACCAGTATCTGGATATGTGTGGTTTCAGTCACATGTTCAGGTGTACATGTGCTGAATGCAATGTGAGAAATACCCAATGCACATATCAAGAATATCAAGGGTAAACTGTAGGCTCCTTCACTGTAACTTGTGTACAGGTTTCTGTGTATAGTGTATACTTGATTTCTCTTTATATGCATGGTGAATCATTCTCATGTTACATTCAGTACATATACAGCTGAACGTGTGATCAACACCACACACTTATTCAGGTGCTGACTTCTAATTCCATTTGCAAAGTGAATATGTCTTGGATCATTCTTACAAATAGATGTGCACATGCACATGCAGGGGGTATATATGTGCATTCCCCACTTGTGAACAAGGCTAGTGTGTATTCATGTAGGGGGTATATATGTGCATTCCCTGTAACTTGTGAACAAGGCTAGTGTGTATTCATGTGGAACGGCAACTTATTTTGCTAATTATGCAACCGGAGTCTGGTAGCCATGCTAGACTGATTAAAAGGCCCTTGTGTTCAGGGCCAAGAAACATGTTAAAGTATAGCATTTTCTTTGTAAACGCTGCAGCTCTTGAAGCTTTTTTTGGTGCTGTTTTTAAGAGAATGGTGTGGGGGGGAGAGAAATGCACACATTTGGTTTCTCTCTCAAACCCTTACTACATCAGTGAGAAGAATAAAACCAGCATGAACTGTTTTGTTGGTTACAGTAACAGAAGAAACCCTTGTGTTGCCAAAGGAAACCACAAAAAAGCATGTGTGTGTTTGGAGGGGGGAGGGGAAAGCCAGGAGGATGAAGCCTTTCGGCTTCTTGCACACGAGAGCTGCGATTTGAGAGTGGAACATGATGAAATCTCCCCCTGGACAAATCAAATTGAGGCTGTCAACCTCACCAGGTGGGATTAGCTGCAGCTAATAGACGGAGCGGAGCAAACCGAGAGTCCTGTGCTCAGTTTAAAGGCAAAGAGGACCCACAGCACAGGCTTTTCAAGAATTCTCTTAATATGGCTAAGAAAAACTCTTTGCAGTTACATCAGGTAGGAGCTGCTTTGCCTCTTTTCTCCCCCCCTTTTTTTGAGGAGGAGCAACTGATGTCTCTGGAGGGTTAAAAAGACCTCCCTTTTGCATGATGAAAAGAGATGTTTGAGTTTTGGATGCAAGATGTTTTATTCATGAACTCCCTTCTGAAGTGGTGACTGTCATTGGGTGTTCCAGTAATAGGAACGGTGGCAAAAAGGGAACATTAAATAGCAGGTTATTTTCTATTTTAGTCATAAATGTTGGTTGTCCCTCTTTTTTAAAAAAAAATAACACCCTGGCTCCTGGCATTTTTCGTTTACTTACTGCTGCGCTCTCTCTCTCTCTCGCTGTCTCTCTGTTTCCAGCTAATATCCTTGTTCACTTTTGCTGTCGGGGTGAACATCTGCATTGGATTTACAGCCAATCGGTTTCGACGTTCTGGAGATGGCGAAGACACCTTGTTCTCAGGTATGGGGAAACGACCTCTAAGACGTCCCATTTCATGTCACTTTTTTTTGCATGGGATAGATTTCGTGTGTGTGTTTGTGGGGATTACAAACGGCTCCAAAGATGTAGTTTTACTGTTTGTTTTTTCAGTTCTGGAGTATAGCAAAGGTTATGTGGAAAATCCAGAGTGTGTTGACCTTCAAGGATTACATTAAGTTATCTATTTACTTCTGACAGGGGTATGCATGTGGGAAAGAGAGATGCAAGGGTATTCAAGGGCTGAGATTTGGGATATGGGGTCTGAGGGTGGTTTTTTTTTAACCCAGATTAAAAAATTCTTTTGTCACTTGAGAACTTCTAGCCTATTACATCAGTCGTAGTAGAAGAGACAAGCAATTTTCATAGGGCTTGCTTTTAAAAATCACCACTGTGACCCCCCCCCCCATGTGCAGTTCTGGATCAGGGGGGGATATCCGGGTGGGAGAGAGTTTCCTTTTCTGCTTTATCTTCTGGTAGTGTTGACCTCTGAATAGTAGATGGCAGACTGCTAGCAGAGTAAGGGTGGGATGGGGGAGAAAGCAGGTGGCAAATTTTAACATTGTTAGTTGCATGAAGCAGATGCAGGAGTGGACTGAGAAGGGCCAGTGTGGTGTAGTGGTTAAGAGTATTTGAAAAACCTGGGTTCGAATCCCTCCTTGTGCCATGGAAGTTCACTGGGGGACCTTGGGCCAGTCACACTCTCTCAGCCTAACCTTCCTCACAGGGCTGTTGAAGATGTAAAGCTGCCTTTGGCTCCCCATTGAGGAGAAAGGTGGGGTAGAAATGAGATAAATAAGTAAAATGAAAATAGTCCTGGAGCAGTGTTCCCCCTAAGCTGACTTAGTGTGAGCTAGCTCACAGTCTTTTAGCCTCCAGCCTTCGTTCAGGAAGGATGGCTCCAGAGCAGACTCATTTATGCAGCAGCCAAATCGCTCGCTCACAACTTTAATGCCAGGAGCTCGCAAAGTAGGATTTTTGCTCACAAGACTCCACAGCTTAGAGGGAACATTCTGACCTGGAGCAAGCAGTGGTGAAGGGGTCACCCAGTGGTGCAAACAATGGGTTAATACCCATTGCTTCCTCCCGAAAACTGGCAGCAGTATGGGACAAGGTGAACTGACACCACACCAGTGACCATTGCTGATCAAGGGTCAGAGCTTGGTTGCCCCCCTGAGGCTCCGGTAGAGTTGCGAGAGCTCAGTTGTGCTTGCTTCTGGCCACTAGCAGCCCTCTACGGCAAGGGCCCACTGGGGAAATTCCCCTGTAAGTTAAACGGCCAGTTCATCCCGGAGCAGATGCTCCATCGTTGGTACTTAGCTGCTCACCCTTTTTAAATTAAGAAGGGCAGAGAGAGATGTCGTCAGGATGCCCAGGTGTTCAGCATGTTTCAGACGAGCAAAATGGGAAAGGTGGGTGGGGGGGGGAAATGCTGTCAAGTCACAGCTGACTTATGGCAACCTGGCAGAGTTTCCAAGGTGAGAGATGAACAGGGGTGGTTTGCCATCGCTTGCCTCGGCATAGCCACCCTGGACTTCCTTCGTGGTCTCCCATCCGAGTCCTATCCGGGGCTGCCCCTGCTTAGCTTGCAAGATCTGATGAGACTGCGTTAGCCTGGGTTATCCAGGTCGGGGGGTGGGGAGAGGAAGGGGGGAGCGTGAAATACTCCTTCATGTGTGGGATCTGTGCCGTTTGCGTGGCGTGCAAGTCTCTCCCACATGACTTGCTCTCAGAATCTGGTATCTGGAAGAACTCTGCCTCTGAACATGGAGGTTCATGCCCTGTTTGTGAGCTGCCCAGAGCCCTCAGGCTGGTGACGCTCTGTACAATGAAATGCAGGACTTGACGGATCTTTTTGGGAAGTCGATGTTCCTCTGTATCCTTGGCTTCTGCTGCAGTTCCTTCCTCCGAGACGAGAAAGGAAGGCTGTGAGTCGGTTTCATGGATTATAAAGGAGTAGTATTCAAAAAGCGTTCCGGTGATGAACAATGTTCCCTCTAAGCTGTGGAGTTTTCTGAACAAAAATTCTACTTTGTGAGCTACTGGCATTAAAGTTGTGAGTGAGCGATTTGGCTACTGCATAACTTAGTCTGCTCTGGAGCCCTCCTTCCTGAGCTAAGACAAAAATGTGTGAGCCAGAGGCTAAAAAACTGTGAGCTAGCTCACACTAACTCAGCTTAGAGGGAACACTGGTGATGAAGCTGGAAAACTTGCACTTGCTTAGAGTGATCTGTTTTCCGTAATGAGTTGAGCACAGAAATATTTTTTTTTAAAAAAAATTACAGCAATCAGTTCTCACTTCGGAAAGTGTGGTAATTATACAGATAAATGACTTAATGATGCTAGTGCTATTAACTATTGATTTCCCTTGTAAGAGGTTTTTTGGATGGGGTGGTGGACACAAACGCCTCTGCTTCTAGGTGCCCTGCTTATTCCATCACATCTCTTTTTTTGGTTATAGTACAAAGCCTGTTTACATTTTGAGAACTGAAACGGCAGCCAAGATGTTGGCTATATTGTAGTGACCACAGAGCGTACATGTGTGTGTGCGGGTGTGTGCTTCCCTTGCCAGACAAAGTTATTTCTAACATATCAAAGTAATGGAAACAGGATGTACTGGATGCGAGATGAGAAAGCCCTTGTGTTTCACCATCGTAAACGAGAACGCTGAACGATGGGCTGTGGGAAAGAAGGATGTGCCGTTATGCCGGATAGCTTAAGTTTAAGTGGTAACAAATGCTTCGATCAAAGGCGCCTGCTTTCAGCTTTGATAAGCACATATGATTCCTGTTGTCAGTAATGGAAGATGCAGATGGTGCATAGCGAAGGAGAGTTGGAACTCGCCTGCACAGAGCTCTTACACCTCTGCCGAGTTTTGGCTTTGTGCATTTCAGGACGCAGCATCCCTTTCTACTGTCTGATCCAGCTGCTTTCCATGCTAATGCAGAAAATGTTTTCTCCATGTGCTGTGAAACATGGGCTTGCATTGTCCGTGCAGGTGCGGGATGTAGTACTTAACACGTTCCAAACACATGGCCAGAATTGTTAAATGGCCAAGCTGCAGTTGGGAATGGACTGTTTAGGAAAAACTACTCTTGCGCCCTTCACACTGGTTTCCAAGTGAGAGCTACACAAATAATAATGAAGGGCCAATCCTCATGAGATCTTCAAGGCAAGAGATGACCACCACTGCCTTCCTCTCCAAAGCAGCCCAAGTCTTCCTTGAGAGACCATCAGAAGCTAAGTAGGGTCGGCCACGGTTAGTAGTTGGATAGGAGATTTTGTCAGATCTCAGAAGCTAAGCAGGGTCAAGGCTTATAATAATTCAGAGCTGTCAGGTCATAACTGACTCATGGTGGTGACCCCTCATGGGATTTTCAAGGCAAGAGATGAACAGAGGGGGTTTGTCATTGCCTTCCTCTGCATAGCAACCTTCGTTTTCCCCTGGCAGTCTCCCATCCTGCTACTCACCATGGCTGACCCTGCTTAGCTTCTGAGTTCTGATAAGTCTGAACTCGTCTGGGCTGTTTAGGCTGCTAGGGGTCCAAACGTGATCTGTGGCTATTCACAACCAGTCTGGCCACTCACAAGTGTGGTGGTCTTCTATGAGCAATGCAATATTGGAAATCTGCAGATCTGGGCTGTGGCAACCTGACTGGGGATGGGCTATGGCTCGGTGGCTGAGCATCTGCTTGGCATGCAGAAGGTCCCAGGTTCAATCCCTGGCAACCCCAGGGTTGTTTTTTTTTTAAAGGATCAGGTAGCAGGTGATGTGAAAGACCTCTTCCTGTGACCCTGGAGAGCGGCTGCCAGTCTGAGAGGACAGTACTGACTTTGATAGACTGAGAGTCTGATTCAGTATAAAGGCAACTTCATGCGTTCATGTGATGTACCTTTGCTGATTCTTCAGGCTGCTGTAGACTGTGAGCTCCTGGCTTGCATATGACACTGTTAAAATGAGGCGACGGCTCTTGTTGCGGGCTGGGGCGACTGGTAGAAAGGAAAATGTGCAAAGACTTTTCTCTCCCTGATCATAAGGGGGGGGGGAGATTCAATTTGTACCCCACCCTTCATTACCCAAAGGAGTCTCAGAGTGACTTACAATCTCCTTTCCCTTCCCCTCCCTACAACAGACACCCTGTGAGCAGTGTTCCCTCTAAGCTGAGTTAGTGTGAGCTAGCTCACAGTCTTTTAGCCTCCAGCTCATACATTTTTGTCTCAGCTCAGGAAGGAGGGCTCCAGAGCAAACTAATTTATGCAGTAGCCAAATTGCTCACTCACAACTTTAATGCCAGCAGCTCACAAAGTAGGATTTTTGCTCACAGGATTCCACAGCTTAGAGGGAACATTGCCTGTGAGGTAGGTGGGGCTGAGGGAGCGCTCTTGAGAACTGCCCTTGAGAGAACAGCTGTGAAAGAACTTATGACTGACCCAGGGTCACACCAGCAGCTGCATTGTGACCTATGGGCTCTACATTAGTTGTCTAAACTTGTGCTTTCATGGTTGCCAGGTGCGTTAGTGGCAATGTTATCATTTTCGGGGTAATCCCAACCAGAACCGCATCCTTCTGTGCTTATTGAAATCGGTGGGTTCAGAAGAATGCCACTCTAAATACCTTCAGCTCCACCCCCCTCTGTTTCCCTAACAGAATGGAAGCTCTGATCTCAGTTCCTTCTAAAGATCCCTGTGTGCAAACAGTAATCTTTTCTATTTGGAAATAAACAGAGTGTTTAGTATTTAGTATTTATGGAACGCTAGCAGTGTGGATTGCTTTAATGCAGTGCTCGGTGACCTTGTCTGTCTTGCTGCAGAGTGCTGTAGATTAGGTCAGCAGTATCCTTATGCCTAAAAACCACAGACTTAGCATTGCCCTTGATTTTCTCCTGTGCAGTGTTACAGAACAGTCTGCTGCTCAGCATTATTCATATCATGGGTATTTTGTGGTGCAATTTTGACTTCTTCTGGACAAGTCAAGCAAGACGAAC